CACAAATAAGGTCTTCAAGAGACGAGGTGGAAAGATCGAGGTTAATGGAACATGTGATAGAACTTAAGTGTTTTGGTAGCTATTTTTTCAGTGCCATTTGGAATATCATCTTATTAGAGAAAAAAATTATGTCATTGCGACAGATTAAATATAAACATGGAGATACCCTTATTTTAAAAAGATAACAGTAGAAGGTAGACGTTTGAGTGGCTTTTGTTCTTCTATGGGTTTAACCAAGTTTTCATAACGTAAATTTATCTTCAAGGGAAACTTAAAAAGTAGAAATGGTGATAGCATGCCAGATGGGTTAGTGGGAGGGTTCTCAAAAGTGTGAGAATGGTATCAGAAAATGAGAGATGAAAATGGGGAACAACAAAAGAAAGAAAACTATTGAATAGGAATAGATTAAAACACCACTCTTCATACAGAAATATACACCTATATGAATTTCTTAAAAATCTCTAAAAGAAACGTACTTTCTTAAAATTAGCAATTTTGGTTGCCAATTAAGGTCGTGCGTCTCTAAAAATAATTAACTCATGACAAAAAAAAAGTCACATGGACATCTTTGAAGTATGTTTTAAAGAAATTTTCATAATAGTTAGGATGTCAATTACATTGGCCTTCAAAATTTTTTAGTGAGCAAGTTGTAGTGCAGTTTTTGTTGAACTAGTTTGGAAATTCCTTATAACTCAGCTCCTCAAAAGTGCCAACTTGTTTATCTGCAGTACCATTCATTCGCTTTGGAAAGCTGCTGAGGAAACCTCGGTGCTCAGAGCTGTTTACACTTGTAAATGCAATTGAAATTGAAGTCAGTTGGGAAACTGGGATCTCTGAAAATAGCAATTGTTTTTTCTCTTACATTAATTTGAACTGATGAGGTAGAAAAAACAAAATCACTAAAGAGTTTATAAAATGGCATGTATATTGGATACAAATCAAGTGGGCTACCTAAGTGTCGATGCATTTTATTTTTTTTAACTTTTTGTGCCCTTTGCTACCTCATGTCATATTTTTATTTTTTAATTAATCCTCACCCAAGGATATTTTTTCATTGATTTTTAGAGAGAGTAGAAGGGAGGGAGGGAAGGAGAGAGAGAGAAACTTTAATGTGAGAGAGAGAGATACATCAGTTGGTTACCTCCCGCAGGATCCTGACTGGGGCCCGGGGCCAGGGAACAAACCTGCAACCCAGGGACTTGCCCTTGACCAGGAATCAAACTTGCGACCCTTCATTCCCCAGGCTGACACTCTAACCACTGAGCCAAACTGGCCAGAGCTGCATGGAATATTTTTTTTTTTTTTTTTTTTTTTTTAATCCTCACCCGAGGATATTTTTCCATTTTTTGTACAGATAGAATGGGAGGGAGAGAGAGGAAGGGAGAGAGAGTGAGAAACATCGACGTGAAGGGACACATCGAGTGGCCGCCACCCGCACGACCAACCAGGGCCGGGGACAAACTGCAACCGAAGTACGTGCCCTTAGCGGGAACCGAACCCGGGTCTCTCCGGACCGCAGGCCGACGCTCTAACCGCTGAGCCAAACTGGCCAGGGCTGCATGGAATATTTTAAACTATGTTTATATAACAGATATTTCCCAGTTGATCTTCAAAACTCAGTTAAGTTTTAAATTTTTAGTGAGCTTAAAGAAGAGGTACAGATCTGGATGAATGAGCAACAATTTACATAAAGCAGTCTTTTTAAATATTCAGTATATGTAAAATTCTGTTAAAATATGTAATTGAGCCCTCGCTGGTTTGGCTCAGCGGTTAGAGCTTCAGTCCTTGCACTGAAAGGTCACTGGTTCGATTACTGGTCAAGGGCATGTACCTGGGTTGCAGGTTTGATTCCTGGCTCCAGTCAGGATCATGTGGGAGGCAACCAATCGATGTATCTCTATCTCTCCTTCCCTCCCTTCCACTCTATCTATAAAAATGAAATGGAAAAATACCCTCAGGTGAAGATTAACATATATATATATAATTGAGTAGAAGTTCCTGATTTTGCTTGGCAGATTGAATGTTGCCACAGGAATGGCATCTCTATATCAGTGCTTCTCATCAGTTCTTCAGACTAATGACCCATTAAATATAGGAGTAAGTTCACTATAAGATGCCTTTAATTAACCTCTGAGCAGACGGGCACAACTGCATATCCTGGTTCCCTTGCTAGGACAGGCAAATTTCATTTCTAGATCTTGAATGATAATTGGTAATAAGTTTTGGTTTGTTTATTTTTTTTTAAATATTTTAATTTTTCTTTATTCATTTAACTACTTTTTCTGGATTATTCACTATGTGCCAGGCACTATGACATTGGGGATGCATGTAAAACAGATATGGACCCCTTTGTCATAGAACTTATTACAGGAACTAAAGGCCAGTGAAGAGGCAATTGGAAAATCTAGTGTGATAAACTGATTCGATGTATTGGTTAGAAAAGATTTCTTAGAGGAAATTAGAACTAGCCAAGAGATGATGATGACCCAGATAGAGTAATAGAAGTAGTAATGGAGAGAAGCAGGATTTGAGTTGGTGTACTGCTGGATTTTAAAGGGGGAGGGGAATGTCTATTAAGAGGGACAGCAGCAAAACATCTCAGAAGGGGCAGGATGGTGGGGGGCTGTCAAGAAGGGCACCCAGGTTTCTTCCTTAAGCAGTTTATGATGCCAGACTCAGGAAGGGTAGCTGGGCTTGTGGTTTGGGTTGTGAGAATGAAGAGGGTTCATTTAGGCAGGGTGAGTTTGAGAAGCCCATGGGATCTCTCAGTGGAAATGTACACTGTATCAAAACTCTTGCCTGTGACAGTTCTTTTTGTTTTGTTTTGTTTCCCATATCTTTTTAGGGGATTTTTCTCCTGAATGTCTGGAAGAATCTGAAATTTTAGATTTAGATTTAACCTAGTTTAGAACTCTTTTTATATGCTAAAGAATTTCTTTTTATGTAGACTTGAGGGAAAATCTTCTAATTTACTGTTTAGATTCAACTAAATCATTGCTACATGGATTAGAGCTGTGGCAATGGAATGAGAATGAGACCATTCACTGTTTGGGTGAGGAGCTAGCTCGTCATCTGTTGGCAACGAGACCTAACAGTTTATAGAGCGTGAGGAACCTCTTTAATAAATTTCCTGAAGTTAGTAAAGTAGGCACGTTGCAAGTTTTCTCTGTCTACCTGCTGTGTATCCAGAGCAGTATTAGAATCAAACAGCAGAATGGAGCTATTTGGCTTATAACGTGAGGTTTTGCACTTAACTATTTCAACTTTGATGGAAATTTGACCTAATTAGACAATAATTGATACACACACAGTGCGCACGGGCACACATGATTGTAGTACAAGTAGCAATGCTGTAAATGTGTGTGATTCTGTTTCGAGTTCAGTTTTTGTGTTCAGTGGAAGAAACAACACAGATGTTTGAGTTTACCTCATGAGAACAGTTGTTCACATATGCTCATAAAGTCAGTGTTCAGGAGGTGTATTCACAGAGGTTAGTTGTGAGGGAGCTGATGGAGAGTCCATTCTAGCACTGTTTTCGGCAATCTCAGCAGGTCCCACCATTCCTGATGTTATTTATATCAGTTTAGAACAAACTGATATTTCCAAACACTTTATACCTAATTCAGTACCATTAAAGTGCGAATACTTCGTTATTATTATTAGCCAGAGTTTGGAGCTTAGTTCATAGAATTATGACTTCAGTTTTTAAAACAAAGGATGTATTTTTTTTCTGATGAGTCGGCTACAAAAAATTTTTTTTTTTTTTTTTTTTTTTTTTAAACCTAGCATCTGAGTGGCTCTCCACTTGCTCAGTTTTCAGAGCTAACCAGATTTAGTGTTTAGTTCTGGCAGGCATTAATTTTCAGCTCCACATCCCTTACTCACCTTCAGTACGAAAGTGCTGCTGTTTGAGTGTCATAATATGGCTCAAACTTATGAAAGTATACAGATGTATTCTATATTTTAAAACACAATTGAGTTATCATACTTAAGCTCTACTAAAAAGATAGAAGATATAAAAGTGTAATAGAATATTTCCGTCATTAATGGTGTGTAATGAACATTTGTAAGTTGAAGAATTATTCTGGCTATTGAATCTTGTTAGATTGAATTTACTACTATATGAAAAATAACTGTAATGTGTATTTTCTAGAAGATAAAATTATCTTGACAAAGTTTTGATAAGTATAAAACAAATGCGAAAACATTTTAGATGCTTTAATTCGTACTTAAAATGAATCTTTTCCCCCCCTTTATTGATTTTAGTGAGAGGAAGAGAGAGAGAGAAACATCAATGAGAGAGAACATCGATTGGCCGCCTCCTGCATACCCCACCCTGGGGATCTCTGCCCTACAACCTGGGCATGTGTCCTGACCAGGAATCGAACTAGCAACCTCTTGGTGCATGGGTCAACACTCATCCACTGAGCCACACCAGCCAGAGGGCTTCTTTTTTTTAATGGACCAAAGATCTTGACTTTTTGAAGCTTTTATTAATGTGTATTTTTCTGGTTTATCTTTCCCCAGTAAAAACATAACTAGTAATTGAAGAACATGATTTACAATGTTTCTGTTGTGGAAAAAAATCATCAAGCATTACTCTTCTTGAACCTTATAGTAGAAATTTTTGCAAGTGTGTACTTCAGGTAATTATGAAGAATGCACAGTAATGTAAAGGCCAAGAGTCTGTAAATATAAATTGGTGGTTCAGTAGTATTTTTTTTAATATATTGTGTGCAATAACATGCCTCTAGACTAAGGTTAAAATTAAATTTTTAAGTCCTTAAAAAGGCTTTTCTATTCATAGGAATTTAATATTACTGAGTATGTAGTTAAATTGAAGCAGAATTATTAGACCATATTTTATACTATTAATGCCAATATTTTTTAGCATTTTTCCTCTAGTTTACAAACTGTCAGTGACTCCATGTTTTACTAAGATTTGTATATTCTTAATGCAACTTTAAAAAAAGAAATTTTCTCATCTTGTTTTTTTATAGGAATACCAAAATCTAATCTCTTGCACACCACATCGTTAAGGGGCCATAAAGACTGCTTTGAAAAATACCATTTGATTGCAAACCAGGATTGTCCTCGATCTAAGCTTTCCAAAAGTACTTATTATGAAGACGTTAAAACCATTTTGAGTAAGAAGATAAACTGGATTGTGCAGTATGCACAAAATAAGGATGTGGATTCAGATTCTGAATGTTCTAAAAATCCCCAGCATCACCTGTTTAATTTCAAGCATAAACCAGATAAAAAGTTACTCCCACAGTTTGACTCCCAAGTACCAAAGTATTCTGCAAAATGGATAGATGGAAGTACGGGTAGCCTCTCAGATTGTACACAAAGAATATTGGAGCAGAGGGAAAATACAGACTTTGGTCTTGCTATGTTACAAGGTTCACGTGCCACTTTATGCCACAGTAGTGTTTTGTGGCCTCATAGTCACAACCAGGCACAGAAAAAAGAAGAGACAATCTCTAATCCAGAGGCTAGTGTCCAGAACCAGCATCCACATTATAGCAGAGAGGAATGTAAGTAAAATGGGAGAAAGGTGAAGGTTGGAATTGTTTTGGGATGTTATTTTACATTTTTATATATGTGATGTTTTAGGAATTTTGCTGTAGAATTACAGATTTGGTAAATGATAAGTTCACTCCATGAAAAATGAGATATCTTAACTCTCCATCAGTTCTCTGGAATACTCCTTAGTATGTTTTACACGTTGGAATTCTGCAGTGCCGATGTGTTTTGCCATTCTAAATTATTAAACTAAATGGAATCAACAAACTAAATTGCAAAGTTCAGGGTTCATATAGTTTAGAAATAAAGCCTCAACCATCGGCTCTCATACACATAGTTACATTGCTAATCCCTACAAGACTGACTGGGAGTGGCATTTCAAAAGCAAAAATAAGACATTTTACTTAAGGCCAACAGTAATGTGTTATTTTAAAGTTAGAAAAGTGACTCAACTCAGTCTGCATCTATAAAAGTTGACATAAGCTGAGATAATGGACTTCAAATCAAATTATTTTACAGCAACAAGGGACTGGGAGTATATTTTTATAAAAATGATTGATTCTACATATCTAAGGTTATGTAACTAGATTAGATAACTTGATTTTTCAGACTGTTTCCACAATACTTTATAGTAGTGATTTTCAAACTGGGGATCATGAACTATGTAGTGTAAGCAAAATTGACTTGATGGGCAGTGACTCGCACTTTGTAAAAACAAACGGTGGGATATATCAGAATCCAGTAGCCTGAATACAAAGTGCTCTTTGGTAAAACTTTTGTTTCAGGGAGAGATGTACTGGGAGTGATGTAAAATATGTTTCTTACTATGGGTTAAGGTTAGGATTTGAAAACTCCACACTGCGGGAGTTAATGAATGGATCCTAGGGTACTTCTGAATGTATGTTGGCAGATAAGTACAATTTTTTTTTTTAAATTGGATATTGTTTTAGTGATGTAGGCACCTTATTTTCTAGATTGTTGTGGTAATAATGAATATATTTTCATGTTTCAGTGAATTCGATGACTTTTGGTGAGGTAAAGCAACTGAATGCAAAGCTCCAACAGCAAATACAGGGTAAAGATCAGTGTTGATGTTTTTTTGCATGTGAAAATTTTGATACAGAAAATCCCCTATAACAGGGTACCATTAGCTTCATCTGCATTTCAGTTTGGAAATGGGATTATGACTTGTTCGAATTCCCAGAGCAAAAAGAATACGAGAACAACTTCTCTGAACTACAGGGGAAACAGGTTTTTTTCTTTTTTTAATGAAAATGGAAACTACAACTTAATTCTCTACCTTCTTACTAACACTTTACTATGCAGGTGAACTCCCTAACAGTTCTTTAAGACAGATACTAGCTCTGGTTTTGAACAATTTCAAACACAAAAGTAGTAATAGTATAGTAAATCCCTTGACCCATCTTCTTCAGCTTCAACTATTACAGAAAGCATAGCTCATTTTCCTTCATCGCTACTTGCACCCATTCCCCTGCCCCACCCCCACCCTCAGCATGGACTATTTTGAAACAAATCTTAGACAACATGTTTTGTCCAAAAATACTTCAGGATTTTCTCTAAAAGATAACTTACAATTCTTTTTTTTTTAAATTTTTTTTCTTTATTGATTTTAGACAGAGAGGAAGGGAGAGAGAGATAGAAACATCAATGAGAGAGAACATCAATTGGCCGCCTCCTGCATGCACCCCCACTGGGGATCGGGCCCACAACCTGGGCATGTGCTCTGACCAGGAATCGAACCAGTGACCTCTTGGTGCATGGGTTGATGCTCAATACCTGAGACACCGGCCGGGCAGGCTAGTAATTCTTTAACATCATGAAATTTGATGCTAACACCAACAGTTAATAGTTAGCATTCAGATTCCCCAGTTGTCCCTTCTTTTTCTTTTTTTTTTTACAATTGATTCCCATTTCTGTGAGGAAACCACTTCAGAGACAGTTAAGTTGCTTACAGAGATCATGCATTCAGTCAGTGACAGATCAAAGATTCCAGCCCATCTGTTTAACTCCAAAGCTAGTGGTATTTCTTGACCACACAGCCTCTCAGAATAATAAAATAATAATAATAATGCAACTTAAGAATAATAAAATAATAATGATAATGCAACTTACATTTGTCAAGTACTTATTCTGTGTCAGGTACTCTACAAGTATAACCTATTGAATCTCAGGGGAAAGAAATTAAAACATAGTTTAAGTTACTTGCCAAAGACTCATAGGAGTAGGAACAAGGATTAAACATTTCAGGTAGTCTGATTCCATAGCCTCTTAGAGGGCTTTCCAGAGCTAGGCACTGACAGGCACTTACTTTCCATACATCGTATTAGATACTGACGGAACCTGTTTCTATTTCAAATTGAGACAAGTGTCTCTCTCAAAGGTTGTTGTAACTGCCATTCCTGCTGTGCATCTGTATAGTCATTGCTTATGACACTTAAATTTCACTTGATGGAGAGGAGGAATACCATGTTCCTGGCTATGCAAAGTATACAGTACGCTAGAATGATCAAAACACAACTCTTTCCTTAGTGTCAGATCACTGTTATTTTTTCCCCCTTTATCCTCACCTGAGAATATGTTTGTTGATTTTTAGAGAAAGAGGAAGAGGGAGAGAAAGAAACATTCGTGTGAGAGAGAAACCAATCAGTTGCCTTGGGTACATGCCCCAGCAGGGGACCCAAACGAAACCTATGTGTCCCTTGACCAGGAATCAAACCACAACCCACAACCCTTTGGTGTCTGAGACTCAGCTCCAACTAACTGAGTCACCCGAGCAGAGTCAGATCATTTCATTGCAAACATTCACCGAATGCGTTCAGTTAAAGTATTTGAAATATAAATCAAAGGATTAGCTTTCTGTGTACTAAAAATGGAACTTGTTTTTAAATCTTTACAGAAGTTTTTGAAGAGTTAACGCACCAAGTGCAAGAAAAAGATTCTTTGGCCTCACAGCTCCAAGTTCGCCACGTTGCCATCGAACAGCTTCTCAAGAACTATTCCAAGTTACCGTGTCTGCAAGTGGGGCGAACAGGAATGAAGTTACACCTGCCCATAAACAACTGAACTGAACTTACACTTACTTCCTGTGCCCTGCCATTTATTGGTCTGCCAGGCATGCAGTACGTCATCAAGTTTGCATAGCTTAAAGGCAGTATTTAACATCTTTTCAAATAAAGCAGATCGCCACACTCTAGTCTTCTAGGGTTAATCATTTGGTTTATTTTGGGAATCTTTTTCCCATATGTACTAAGTGGCCCTCACTAACTATTGCTACATGGGACTGTTTAAATATACTGTTACAGTGTGATTTTATTAAAGATAGTTTAATGTAATTCACCCTTTCAAAACAATAGGAGGTTAACAAACTTCATAGATTAGTCTGAACTACTAAAGGTAAAATTTTAAGAGGGAAAATAAATTCATAAAGTCACCTCTTATTTATTATGAGCAATATTTTAATATGAAAATTTTATATATAAAAATGCTATTTTAGGTACCTTTCCATTCTCTTTATAAATGTGTATTTGAATGGCTTTATGTATTTACACTTTCATGTGTGAATATCATACCCATATTTCAGATCACTGAATTTTATTCTCAATACACTGCTTTTACAACTACTATCTTGTTTTCCAAAGATAAATGTATTTTGGAGTAGAAATCTATCTAGTTGAATTGTTTGACTTCTAATAACTCTGATAAAAGAGGAGTTAATAACTTTTTAGAGCAAATATACAAGAAAATAAAATATAATTTTTTCTAACAAAAGCAGTTCTGAGTTTGTTCAGGAAGAAAATGCTAATCTAGCTTTTGTATGTCAACAAGTCTCAATAGACGTAAAAGCCTCTTCTATTTCATTATTTTTATTTTAATGGCTTTGATGTGTTAGAATTTGAACAGAGTTGATCAAGCCTCCTTGTAAGTCAAATGGAATGTCTTTCTTCAAATGAAATGTGCTATGAAATAGTTGTCCTACATTTGAAAAAAATTAATTTTGTGTGCCACTTCGGATACGGTTCAAGAATCCTTGAACTGTCTAAATTATGACTCAATGTCATTGAAATTAGTTCCCAAACAAGGCATTCTGGGGTAGTTTTCTAAACTTTATCATCTAAAGGGAAACAGAAGAGTGTTTGACGCAGAAAAACAAAATTCTAATTTAAAAAAGCCCATTTTAAAAAAATGTTTATTGATTGATTTTAGAGAAACAAACATCGATTTGTTATTCCACTATTTATGCATTCACTGGTTGATTTTTCTATGTGCCCTGATGGGGATCCAACCCACAACCTTGGCGTGTTAGGATGACACTACCAGGCCAGGGCTAAGAAGCTCATTTTCAGAAGGATATTAATATGTTGTCTATGTTTCCCAAGAACTCTGAACTAATAGGTTGTCTCAAACAGCTAGATACATTTTTAATGTATTACAGTAAAAGCTATAACCAATGCAGAATTAAAATGGGCTCTAAATTCTGTTTTCAGCTGGTTCTTAGAATGTATTTATAAGATAAGATTCTTTGCTTGAAAGAGTCTACAGAAAAGCCCATAATTGGACGGCTCCATGCATAAAGTTATAAATGATTTCTGCCTTACATTTGGCAGCCTGCCCCTAGGTTGGGTCCGATTTTAGTCTTGACTACAAACAGTATTTGACTAAGCAAAGAAACACCTCAAACTAGTAGGAACAACTCTCTGTAACTCTAAAATGTGTTAAATTTGCCCAAGAGTATTGCTTGATATAGCATTTCTGTTTTCTTTGAAATAGGACATAACTGCTCTTTGGAGGGAGCTTTTGAAAGATGCTTTCAGTTTCTCTTGATTCTAGTCTTTGGGTTATCCAAAATGAATTTAAAATCCAGGAGTGGGGATACATTGCCTTAGTTTTTGATAAGCTTTAAATTGAATGTGTGCAATATCAAAATGCATAATTTTACAAGTTGAATTTCCGGATAATGCCAGTAGATATCTTAGTGATTATGGTCACATTTTCAAATTTGACTACTCTTTTTTGGCATAATTCATTACAGATGTAACAGCCAGTGTGCTTGCACACATTTGTGCTTCTATTTAGATCACTTTGGGACAGCCATAAAAGTCTGGTGTGCACTGCATTGATACCAGTAGAAGCATATTTCTGGAATGTGAGCCATATGGTGCAGCCCTCAAACAACAGTGTTACCCAGAGAAAGGGTGTGCTTATTTCGCAAAGAATCTCTGGCAAATGTGTAGCTTTACTAATGAGCTAGGAACAATTAAACGGGATTATGCAAATACCAAGGTCTTAATCAGGGACTCTGATTTATTCCATTTAGATATTTCTACTTAAGCTCTTCAGGGGAAAGGTGCTCTTAAGAAATATCTGTGGTGCTGGTACTCACACTAGTACTTTATTTGGGTAAATATTCTGGTAAAAAAAAATTGTTATTTTGCACAGCAGTTTTTCCAAATATTTGATAAGTTTATTTTATATTCCAATGTTAGTTTTCTTAATTGAATATGCAATTCTGTATATTCTAAAATAAGGCTAAGGGACAGAGTTGAAGTCTACCTTGATAGAATATGAAATACCACAAATATCAGTTACCATACTTGGCTGTTCTTCTGTACTGTTAGTACTTTCTGAGGAAGATTGGAAGGAAATCTTATCTATAACTTCAGTTTCAAAAATGGCAAAAGAGAGACTGCAAGTTATCTATTAGTAATTATTTCAGAGCTTATATGTTTAAGGGGAATGAAATAAGACTAATATTTTTCCATGTTAGATTTCATAATTAGACAAGTTGAATTCCGTTTTTAAAAAGTCAGTCTGAAGTCAGTGATTTTGACCACCCAAGATTGTTCTTAGTTAAAGTTTTCAAATCTGTTCGTCCTGTTTCATCCTTTGATACTGGTATCTAATATCTTCATTTGTCCTTTTTTTTTTTTCTTAAGCCATGCATTTAAGACACCAATAATAGATGATGCAGGCAGCAGAAGAGTGTTTTGTAGTTTCTTATGCACGACGTTGGAGCAAGAAATGTTCTTATTTTTTCAGATTATGCTCATTTCACCACAAAGTGCCCATTTTTATATACATTTGAGGATTATTTTTAAAATAGCAAGTTCATGTTGGAAAGTGATTCAGAGATATAGTGAAAATATATTCTATTTTGTTGTTATCTTGACAAGCATCTTGAAATTTTTCTGGACCATATTCCTTACCACTACAAGTGGTTTAAAGTGCTTTCTTTTTTTGTTTGTTTTGTTTATATATCTTTTACCTTGGGGTTTACACTCGAGTCTACTACTGGATCTATTTGTATATGTTAATGTTGGCCAGTTTTATTTTTTTAGAAGAAATCTTGTGTTACTGTTGTAAAATGTAATGCAAAATATATGCTCTAAACTTAAGAACTTTTTAAAAATAAATTATTTGTGTAGCTTAATAGGAGGTTCAAGTTAGTGACCATAAAATTAGGTTACGTGACATGAAAACTAAAATGGTACAGTATAAAGTTATTGTAGTGTTATTATTCTGATTTATGCCAGTTAGTTGACTGACAGATGTTATCGTTTATGCTAAGGTAAGATCTTTGAGTCTTTATAAGTACTAAGTTTAGTACTCTTAAAAAAGTATTTAAATATATTTTGTTCAGATGTAGTTGTAAAGCAAAGATAATTGACTTTATTTCAGTGTTTAATTGCATTTTTAACTTTAGGTTGATGGAAATGGTTATTTGAGAAAATTTGTGATGAAAATCAGTAAAAGATAGAATGCAACAGGTTATTCTTGCCAAAATAAGTTTTTGGTGGTGGGATGGGAGAGAACTGACCTACTGAATACTAAGGTGATAGGTTTCTGGCACAAGTACAGGACTATGATACTGTCTGCAATAACAAGATTCTGTCTTGCTGCTTCGTATTTTCATTACCTTCATCCTTTCATAATTGTCCTTGTTAAAAATTAGTCTAACGTATTAAGCAATGTGGTCATGTTGCTGTGAACTGTATCATAGCAAATCTCTTGCATTAAGAATTTTTAGCATCTAGTTTATAACACAATACTTTTCCCTTTTTTGTTATTAGTTTATGACAGTCCAGATTATGGCTGCATTTTAGTGATACTGAAGTGAAACAGAATCATGGAGATAGATGAGTATTGCCCGTCCTCTCCCCACGAAAAAGTGTTAGTTGACTTTCCCTCACCTACCCATAAAGCAAAGGGAGTTATAGTGCATTTGTGTTTCTTATTTCTTTCAAACGTGTAGTGTGCTTGTTTCTGTTCTACTACCTTGAAAAGAGGCAGTTTAGAAAGTGTTCAGTAGTGACTTCTGTTTAAAGCCATTCCTACTTTTACTATATGTTGTGTGTGTTAAACTTACTTTAAGTCTGGGTAGCTTATACTATAGCTGTTGAACTTCATCTCTCTTTCTGGTATTAGAAATTTATCTCACAAAATTCTGGTGAGATGTTTGGAAAAAGAAAATTTAGCTGCAATGGTGAAAACCAAATTGGTTTCAAAAAAGTTGAGACTTTACTTGGCGGTTACACTTTTCTTTTAACACTGCAATAATTTACGTATTTGTGTTGCCCTGCTTTGGAACTGTAAGTACTTATGCTTGTCTACTATTTTTAATTTTACAACAATAAAATAAATATTTTGTTATCAGTTCGTTTCAGTTGATATTTTTACGAGAGCACTTTCTTTAATGCTTGACTTATATGGGGAGGGTGTTTTGCAGGCTTAAGGAGTCTTCACTTACAACTGTTATCTAACAATTTCTTATCTTAATTTCTTGTGAGAATCTTTCTTTGAAATAAGTGAACATTCTCTGTCCCAAGAGTCCAGGCGCAGGTAATATGATTTCTGTGACTTAGTGCATATGTAGTGCAACTTCTTTAGTCAGACTGTACTTTACATGCAGTAAATACACAGATTTTAAGTGTTTGTTTTAACAGCTGTATTACAACTGTGACCATCACCCCTTTGCTTCCCTTCCCAGTCTCCTCACTCCCTACTTCCCTCCATGGTTCTGGTCTCTGTCTTCGTAATTTGCATTTGCCTGCTCTAGAGATTTATATAAATGTTATCATTTGCCTCTGGCCTTTCCATGCAACTGGTTGTTTTGAAATTCATATTAATGCAAGAATCAGCAGCTTGTTCCCCTTTTTTGCTCAATAGTAATTATTTTCTGAATATATTATAATTTGTTCATCTGTTGATGGACGTTTGAATTATTTTGACTCTGGGACTAATGAAGCTGTTATAAATTTTTAATTGGCTTTTAGAAATGTAACAATATTCAAGGTCACTTTGGATTAGTGTTATAAATTTGGATATTAAATCACTATTTTTTTCATGAATGCTTTTTAAAATAATTTATATACAATTCTGTAGTAATAAAATTTAAAGCTAGGAAACAGTTGTACAAAAGATCAAAGGCAGAATACAAAATAAGGGATGTTTGAGAATTGAAACATTGAA